GTCCATATATTGATCCAAGCATATCAGCACTTCGCATTGAGTGTTTTATCTTGACTATATTACGAGCTGGATTAAAAAGCATAAGTCACACATACAGTGCATTAACCAAGTATGTTTTTTCTTTTTTTAAATCAATTGGTTTGTTACAAAACTATGTAACTCCAAAAAAGTAAAATATAATTACAAATTTACATTTGATGATTAATTTGGCAAAATTAAATAATAATAAAAATCAAGAGAAGCTTAAAACATAATAAAATGCACAAAAGTATGTATATTTTATACAATTGTATATTTCTTAACAAAGTAAACAAAAAATAAATTTTTTACACATTTATTTAAAAGTTAACAAAATATAATATTTGTCAATTTTGTTTGTCTTTATTGCATAAATATTATAAAAATTAATTATTTCTCAGTAGTAACAATTAAACAACTTTTAGGTATTTAATAAGTAAACAATTTTTAGGTATTTCAATGCAACCACACAACGGACCATCTTCTTCTATAGGTTTCACTGCCAAGTTTTAAAACTCATTGGAAAAATTCTTCTTATTCATCCTCATATTTTTTTAATTTGATGTTTAGAAATAAAAATGATAAAATAGGTAAAAGTAAACATTTTTTCTAAATATCTTGCATCAAAAGTACACAAAGTATTATTTTTTGTCATTTTTGGCCTTCATTTTTTTTCTAAACTTGTAAGAATTTCATTTTTTTCTAAATAATCATAAATCTTTATCTAATCTAAATGAGAAGAATATGCACTAGGGTTATGACTTTTTATCAACCCCATGCTCCTGTACTGTAATTTGATGAACTTTTATCTAAAAAGCACGAAATGAACTATTATTTGCATATCTTTTTAAAAAAGTTCAAAAGTTTTGACATAAGTATTACTATGTATTCAAATGTATTTAGAATGTCATAGTCATGTAATGCAATATATTTTCAATTTAACAATGATTCAGATCGTTGACCTTACTCTTGTTTATTGCACAGAAGGAATCGAAGGTGCAATTTGTCTTTTTCCATTGATCAGATCTTTTTTTTCTATTTTTGCATGATGAATAAATTTCTTCTATTACTTTGATTACTTCTGGGTATCTGTAGTATGGATGGCTCTCGCTTCCAGTGATTTTTCAAAGAGCCTAAAGTCTTGTATGGGTTCAGTATTTCAGACAAGTTATTAAAGTTGTTTTTGTTGTACAGTTGGTCTGTAAACCAATGTAATTGGTCTGCCCAGCCATACGATATAAATCGACGTACTCTCTACAAAACTGTCCTTGTTGAAGGAATTAAAATGAAGGCAAGGATTGCTAGTATAGCTCTGAAGTTCCACCTCCCATTGCTGATATTGGGTATTTTCTGAAACCTGATCAATGGAAAATGTCCCTTTTCCTCAAAAAATTGGAACACTCGAGTGATTGATTTCATATCTCTCCAGTCTGATATTTCTTATTACTTCTGTTTCGTTATCACACTGTGTTTTAAGCAAAAAAGAGAAGAATTTTTGTCAAGACATAGGGTAGATTAGGGTAATATAAGCACCTTGGTAATATGAGCATACTTAAAGATTTATTAGATGTAAGCAGTGAAGTTAAAGTTGCTTTATTTTTTTCGAATCGACTTTATGTGGTGATAACAGGAATCAGTACAATTAGCGTAAATTTATATGCAGTAAATAGCAGATATCATCTAATTAAAACACTTTCAAATTTTTTGCTTTGTTAAAAAAAATCATCACGTGTGAATAATTCTGTGGCGCGATATTTTGGTGCTAAAATAATGAAATTAATTTTTTCATAAAGAAAAATATATTAGCTAAAAATCCAATTCATTTTTGTTTGAAAAATAATGCATAGAAACATTTATTTTTGACTTTATTTAAAGATACCATTTTTGTGTAATATGAGCATGCTTAAATTACCCAGTGCTTTTCATTGAAATTGCTTAGTTTAAAGTCCTAAAATAGCAGTGGTTTTTAATTGCTTCTTGAATAAAAACAAAACATAGTAAAAAATTTTAATATATTAACAATACTAAATATTTTTCTGTAACTTAAATCTAAAAAATTTTAATTTTTATTGTTCAAAGGTTTGAGTTAACAAAAAAACAATGTACTAATTTTTTTTTTTTTTTTGGCAGAAAACATAGTAGTATTGTTTCAACAAAATGTAGCTTAAAATTTGATCTTTTAATGATATGTTTTGTTAATCACCAATCCTTATATTCCAACAATTAGTTCTGTTAAGCAGGTTGGTCTTTTTTTACTTAATTAATGCTATTTTTTTGAGCTAATTTTAAGTGCTCATATTACCAAGGGGTCAGGGTAATACAAGCACTTTTGCTACTTTTTTAAAACCTCTGTGTTTTTAAGAAAAAATGTCAAGTGCTCAAATATCTAAATAGATTATGAATAGGGATCCCTAAAAATTGTTTATTTGCAAAAATTTTGGATCCAGCATATTTATTTTTGAAAATATTCCAATTTTTGCTTAAGGTGCTCATATTACCCTAATCTACCCTAATGTCTTTTTTCTGATGACTCAACTTAATACTATAGTATTAAGCTGAGTCATCAGAAAAAAGAGCTATTTTAGATATAAGGTCCTGACACAGGAAGATCATTAATGTAGATAAGTAATAAAACAGGACCAAGGATAAAACCTTGAGGTACCCCAGAAGTTACTGGAAATAAAGAAGAGTGTTGACCTTCGAGGATGACTTTGATAAGGCGGTTAGAAAAAAAACAATTTGATAATCTCAAAAATTTCCCAGATACACCATATGAAAAAAGCTTATAGAGAAAACCAACATGTCAAACTTTGTTGAAAGCCTCAGATATGTCTAGAGCAATAGTCTCTAAGCCTCCATCTAATGCACAATAAAATCTTTCAGTCACAGCAGTTAGCAAGTTAGCCATAGAGCAAGAGGATTGAAACACGTATTGGTTGTCTGCAAGTTATTTGACTAAAGTTTGAATGTGAGAAATATGTTTATCAAAGACTCAAAGACCTTGCTAATAATAGAAAGAAGACTGATTTGACAATATTTGGAGGGGTCAGTATGTTTACCAGTCATTTTCCAGCAGGCAGGAAAACAAGATGTCATTTTCCAGCAGGCAGGAAAACAAGAATCAGTCAAGTACTCAATAAATAGTTTAGAGAAAATTGAGTCCTAAAGAACAATTTTGTATGACTGTGCCAGGAATTTTGTCTGGACCTCAAGCCGTAGAAGACTTTAATCAAGATATGACTATGAGCAATGGAAGCTGAAGTAGTTTGAATGTCTAACAATGGGTTAACCTGTTTAATTAGAATGGAAGGAAGAGAAAGGCCATAAGAGTTGAAAGTCAGATTGGAAGAGAATTTCTTTGCAAATAGTTCAGCCTTATTTCATGTATCTAAGCATAGCCAAGTATCAAGTATGTTTTTATATTTTTTATTTTTTTAATTTCAATTCACCTCCCTGAGGCTGCAAAGGCCACTTTAATTGAGGAGGCTTCTTTAGTTATGGCTATAACCCACTATCAATTTTATTACTTGGAAACACAAACCTTGATTAACAAAGATTAAAATAATTGTTTGCCTTTGATATGGGTCCAAGTATTTGTTTACCAGTATCAATTTAAAGTTGTATGGGTTTATATTTTAATTAGTTAATTCATTGGCATTGGTATCGGCCTTTTCTCATTGATCAGATATATATATATATATATATATATATATATATATATATATATATATATATATATATATATATATATATACGTCCAATTGTTTGACTTAGCTATTAAACCACAATTCATAAATACGTCCTACTACCTTTCTTTTCCTAATAAATTTCGAACAACCATTCTGTATATTCTCAAGAAGACTTCAAAACATTTGATAATCTCACATTCTACAAACAAGCTACTCCACTGTTTATCTTCAATAAACCTGTTGAAGGAATTATATTCTTCTCTTAAATAATTTAATTTCTTTTATCAAAAACTCTAACATATTTATTAATATCGTAATACCACATTAATATGAGATGATCTTGCTTTGTTTTGCCAAAAAGAGGTTTATATATGCCAAAAAGATATTTATATCTAAAATTTTAGTTTTGTCATTTGTAATAAGTAAATCCAGAATGTTTGTTTCATTTTCAGAGCTTCGATAAAATGTTGGTTTGTCAATAAGCTGGTGAAGAAAGCAATCATTGATATTTTTTATAAGCTCTTTTGCAGAGTAATCATGCCTCACATCTTGTCCTGTTTAACCATTTAATATTAGAATAGTTGAAATCTCCTGCTAATAAAATGCTATCGTATCTTCCATTAAAGACCATTTTATTAGCATTTTAAATAATTTGATTAAATTTACAATTTTTGATGACATCAGAATTAGATTGTCTATAAATGCAGTTTTAACTTTATCAATTTTTAAACAACACTATATTTATTCTATTTCTGTATCGTTTAGTAAGAATTTGTTTATTTTATATGCAATTATATCAGTTCTGATATAAATAGTCACTCCACTTTGTCTATTTTTCTTTTCTAAATATTTAGTAGTTATCTACTGAAACTATAAACGTTTCTGTAAACCAAGTCTCATTTATCAAAGCAATGTACTTGATTTGTCACTTTGACTTGCTGATTTAAACACAGTGAATAACTTTTTATGCAAATTGGATGTAGCAGTATATACTTAACTTTGGTCTTCATATTTGCATAATTACAGTCTTGATCTTAACAATTTTGTTATTCCTTTTTCCAAATCTAAAATCTACTTTTTTTAAATCATTGTTTAGTTTATTTCTTTTCCCTATTAAGCTTTAGTTAGTGCTCTCTCACTAAGTGTCTAGAGCAATGAATATTCCTGTGAATTTAGAATTTCTCAGATTTTTACATTTTTTTCAATACTTTTTTTCCTCCTTTGACGAAAGTTCTACCAAAATTGATGTACTCTTATTTGCATCTGATTTTTTAAACCTTCTTAAATAAGCTACCTCAATAAACTTCAAAAAAATATTAAATAAGCTACTTTTACATTAGCTCCAATTTTGTGAAGAATATCATCTACAACATTTTTGTCTTCTTTTCCTTCTACACCTTTTGTTTTTAAAATAAGTATGTTTCATTCTCTTTTTTAAACTTGCTTATTTTCAATTATAATTGTTCTAAGTATGTTAGTGTCTAGTTTTTAATAAAATTAAATAAATTACTGAGTAATCTGGGTTCCGTTTTGATTTGCGATGACTTCTCAAGAATCTCCACTCTATTTCTTAAGTTTTGATTTTGTGATTCTAGTTATATAATTCCATTTTGCATTTCTAATAATTTATCATCATAAAACTTTTTAAACGTTTCTACTTTGTTCTTGTTCTTGGTTTCCGAAGTTACAAAAAATTTAAATCAATGATATGTATTGTTTATATCATTAGTTAAAGTTTAAAATTATTGTCAATTAATTTGTCCTTTGAGCTATGGCGTGATAATTCTGTTCTAATTAAAATATCTAATTAAAAATCATAACAACTTCTCCAAAAAAAGATTAAAAAATCAACAGAAAAATTCATACACAAATAATTCAATCAGATATCTTGACTATACATACATCTTGATATACGCTGTTATACAAAGCTATATTTTAAACACGAACCTTGATGAACAAAGCCGCTGCACGGAGAAACGAGTTAATTTAAGAACAACAATTGTACAAGACCCTCTGCACTAAGTCTATTATCTATTAAAGAATATTTTGTTTAAATTAAATCTTATATTTAAATTTTTTTTAGTAGGTATGTATTTTTTATGATAAACTTAAATGTTTGAAACTATTTTTCCATATCTTTCTAATATCTTTTTTCCTTGTTTAAAATTAGCTTAGCGTTTCTTCTTTCAGTGCATTTCTGAAATACTTAAATCATCTAAACAGTCATGGTCAAGTTGTCAACAAAAAAAATAATTTGTGTGGTCAGCAATAGCTTTTGATCACATCACATTCCTGTCCAAGCCTGATTGAATCGCACATATTTTTTCAAAAAAGATTGGCTAGCAATAAATTGTTAGCAGGCTAATCAAAATTTAAAAAACAGCATTACAATTAATTAAATATCACAATTGTAACTAATCATCCTCGATACCTAATCTGAAAGACAAAATTACCACATTACATTGCAGTAACAATATTGCTTACAATGATGAAACTACAATACAGCAATATATCAAGTTCTGAAATCTTCTCAGGGACTTGCCATTTTGTCAGTATTTTTCAAATCACCTTCTGATTCACATTTAGGCTTAGACCTCTCAGCTTTTAACCTCACTTTTAAATCAACAGCTTAGGCATGTTTGTTTTTCTGAAGAAAAAAAAAAGGTCTCTTGTGAAATTCTGACAATTAGCTTTTACTTTTTAAATCGATTGATGATATTTTGATGGTATTTCATTTGATTTTAATGTTTTTTGTCTGCAACTGAAATGGTTAATAAGATTTAATATCATAAAAAAACAATGTTTTAAGCTTCATTGATTTTAGTGAAAGAAAAATCTCTTATTTGTTCATGCATTTAATACACACACTGCCAAAATTTAAGAGAATAAACTAAATCTAGACAACTAACTCCTAACTTATTATGTTTAGTAATAAATTAACATCATTAACATCAATCATAAAAATAATAATTTATACAAATTAAAACATATAAATGATAAAAAGTACACACTGTGTATGCCATTACAAAATGTGTAATGGCAGCTATACGGTTTAATATATAATAATAATTTAATATTAATAATAATACTTAAAATATTATTTATATAGAAAATATTATTAGTTATAAATAGGGAGTGGTAATGTATTGTTTGACATCCATTAATACATAGATGCATCATGTAACGATGCATCAAAAGACTGGATCGTTAAATAATGCATCGAAAGAATAAAAATAAAATATAAAACAGCTAGATTTAAAAATAAAATTTTATTTAGTTATTGTTATTTGCTATTAATCATCTACAATAATGGCAAAGAAATTTTAAGAAAAGTTAAAAAAAAAAATTTTTTCTTCGAGATATTAGTCAAAATAAAAAATTATACCCATCATTAATTTTCTTCATCTGTCTTAGGTTTTCCTTTATGTAAACAAGTTTTTCAACTTAAGATACAGGCAGGTTTGTTCTCCTGTCACCACAGATAATTACAGCTGTGCAAAACACTCGTTCGGAACTGGAGAAAGCTGTTGGAGTTGCCAATGGCAAAGCGGGCAAGTTTTGGATACTTAAAAGATTGGTTCTTCCAGTAACGAAGTATTGCCCATTATTGGCAATTGGTTTTGTAATCAAATAGCTTTCTATCTCCGCTATCAAAGAGGTGCTTCCTTTTGGCTTATTAACCATTTTTCCAATAGTTTGAATTTTCAAACTTTTGCAAGACCTTCTTGAGTATCCAACTGTTGTTTTTTCTTGAGGCTGTGTGTGTGTCTGTATTATTGTATCTTCTGTTTCATCAATGAGGGGTTGTGATGTGTTGGTTGATGTGTTGTTTCCTTCAGAAAAAGTAAATAGATTTTCTAATGTATTGATAATCTTAAAATTAATAGATTGTCTAACTTATTATTAATCGAAAAATGTTTTTCCTATACGAAGGGTAAAGGCATCGTAAGGAACGTAATCGTAAATCGAAAAATAACTAATTTAAGTAGCTATACACCATTTTATAATTTTTCTTTATATAACACATCGTTAATCATTCCGGTACATTTTTGTTTGCATCGTGTTTGATGCATTGAACTACTAATCGTTTTCGATCGAACACAATGAATTGTTCAATGCATCGAACACGATGTATCGGTACATCATTAATTGATACATTGCCGTTCCCTAGCTATAAAGGATAATGTTATTACTTATATAGGTAAAAGGCACATTTAACTCTAACACCTCCTCACCTTCTCCTTTTAATCAAATTACTTTTTTATTAGATGATTCTTCTCTATTCTTTTTTTCCACTGGCACTTTTGATTGATTTTGTTCAAAATGTTTATATTTAGTATGTTACAGTTACATACAATATATAATGCCAGTTTTTCCAATTCAGTTTAAACACCAATTTTTTGAAAAATAAAATCTGAAATTTTTTAACATTTTTTTAGGTTTCAACCAATGTTTACAGAACTTATTACAAACAAGTCAGAACAATTACATGTCCTAAGAACTGTCAGAGAATTTTGGGGAAGAAATCCATTAGTAAGTATTTTTTTTTATCACCCACTTTATTTGAGTGAAAAAAATGTTAGCAAAAAATGAAAAGAAAAGAGAAAATTTATTAAATTAAATAAAATTTTCAAAATTTTCAAAAACTGAAGTGAATTAAAAAGTTTTTTTTTTTTATATTTCGAATAAATTCCATGTTTTGCATTTGTAATTTTTACAATAATTATATTAGTATCAGCATGTCTGATATTAATTTCCGTTTTTTTAATATCAGAGTAGCTGATGGTATTATATATAGTATCAGTTGTTTGTGGAGATATATTGTGGAGATATATTTTTTTTGTAGTTGTAAATATACCTTTTTTTATTTAAATTTTGTTCATTCTCTTACCTAATTTAATTAATTATTTTGCTGTTGTATTGTCTTTTTTCTATTATTATTATTATTATTATTATTATTATTATTATTATTATTATTATTATTATTATTGTTACAGTAAGTTCCCAGTACGTCAAACACCAGTCAACTCGAACTTTTATTATCTCTAACTGTTTCATTTGTTCCCTCAAAATTGTCTAATTGATTGCTATTAAAATTCTCTGATTAAGTCAAACCTCGGATAACTCAAACTTTGTTAAGTCGAACCCTTTTTTCGTCCCCTTACAGCAAATTTCTTTGGATTTAACTTTATATATGGGAATTAAAGAATATTATAAACACTGAAGAGACAATTTTTTTTCTTAAAGTAGGAAGTAGTTTAGTTCAGAATTTTCTTTCAAAAAAAAATAAATGGGGAAAGGGTTTTAATAAGCTCTTTATGTATGCTGAAAAGGTGCATATGTTAAATTTTTTTTGCTCATAACTCAATTTTTTTGAATGAGTTATTTTTCTATCATTTACTAAAAACTAAGAAATGATCAGCTTTGAATAGATAAGTATAGTCAGTGTGGAAAAGACCTGTATTTACGGATCCAGGTAGCTAGAATAAGGAAATAAGGAAAAAGTATAGAAAAAGTCTGTGTGGAATAGACCTACAAAGACCCTTATTTTTACGGGGTCCATTCTGATTTTTAAGTTTTTTAATAATTCAATAAATCAAATATTTTTAAGTGGAAGTTTTAATTTTGAAAAGTTTAAAAATTTTTGTTTAAGTTTTCTTCAGATAATATATAACTCAATTAGTTTGACACACTATATATCCAAATGATCTGAGTTCACTATTCTATATTAGGGCATGGATTATATCAAAGTCCACTGAGTACGCTATATACCAAAATGCACTAAACATACTATATACAAAAATGCAAATACACTACACATCAAAATGATGATAGTAGTAATTATTTTTAATGTTTTAATTTTCATCATTGTAGATGGTTCTTATTGTCATTGATAAAATGGTAAAACTTCAATATATTCAGTGCAGCACAGTTATTAATTGGATTTTTTCAAAAGAAATGGAAAATGAATTCATGAGGTTTTTAAATAATAGTTATATAATAATTTTGAATTAATTTAAATTTGTTTCATAATAACATTTAATAAATTTAAATTTTTTTTAAAGATATACAACCTGGGAGCTGATACACAATACTTTAAAAAAAATGATGAAACATAAATCAAAGGTGATTATTTTTCAAAAGTTTTTTTTTCAAATTTACTTCTTAACTAAACTTTAAAAAAGTTTTTTAATACCAGGTAAAAAAAGATCTAGAAGATGCACATGAACGTTTGGATGTACTAATTGATAAAGCTAAACGAGAGGTTTTTATTAAAAAAATATATTTAATAATATTTTATTATGTCATAAAAGTGTATTGATTATAAAATTGATGCTAACAGCCATATTTTTCCAGAATTATTGGTTATTTTGTAATAAAAAATTATTGATAAAATTTCAAATACCATATTTTTGCATATAATTCTATTTCTTTCAAAGGTTTACTTAGGCCTAGTAATCTGTGCACCACTTACACTTAGTAATTAGAATTATTACACCACAAGTATAGTTGTATTTTTAAATTTAATTAGGAGCAAAAGCATGGAGAATCCGAGGATGATGAAGCATATAATACTTCTCCTTTGGAAATAGAACGTCGACAGGAAGAAATCGAAGAATTAACACAAAAAGTTGAGACTGCTAAGAAAGATCAGAAAGAGCTATTTTTAATAGTTTTTCAAGTATGAAATATTTTGGTGGAATTTCTTTTTAAATTATTTTGTTTTTGTAACTTTTTTGTCTGAATTCTTAGCGGTTTACAATGATCATCACAGAACATGTCGCTGAATGTGAGCGAGAAGGCAGGAAAATTGTGAATTCTTGGTATAGGTATACTTTACAAAGATTGCAAGAAATATTTCTCATGGTACGCATATTTTATGTTTTGTTTTTGTAATTAAAATTAATTCAAAATAATAAGAAAATCTTGTTTGCAAAGAACAATAAAATAATCGTAATGCACGTGGTTTGTATTTACAAACAGTAAAATTTATAAATTGATGGAAAGTGTTCAAAATCTACCAAAGTTGACAAAAGTTCCTAAAGTCTTAAGAGCCATTATCTGTAGAAATCAGATAATTTTAAAGCAGTAAATACTGATATGTCTCCAATTCTGTTTATTTTTCTTCACATATTTTTTCTTTTAAAACCTGGAAGATGAAAAATATGATTAATTCTAATCTTATTCAAACAAATATAAGTTTTATTTAAGCAAATTATATTTTAAATGTTTTCATTTTCTTCTTAAAAAGGTATACATTTCGAGAAAAAAAAAATTTTTTTTTTAAGTGCATATATTATTCTAATTATATAATAATTAGAATAATTAATAAAATAATAATTAAATAAATGTTTTGTAAAAACTAGTTGCTGTTCTTTTTCTTTGATACTTTAATTGCAATCAAAATTTAAAATGATAAATTATTAAATGTATATTACTTTACAACGAAAAGTAGATGTTTTCTAAGTTAGCTTGTCTTTTGAGTTGTATATAATATATTTCTAGCTTTTGCTTGAACTACAATGTAAAATATTTAAAAGATAAAGAAGAAAATCTTTTTTAGATTAAGAAATTTTATAGTGTATTATTTTTGTAGAGTGTTTTAAAGAAACAAAGATATGTAATATATTATAATAGTTATTATATATATTATATTATAAAAGTTATAATAAATATAAACAAAACATCTTTTGATCTACTGATGTTTTTTCCATTCAAACAGTGCTAGTTCGTTTACAAAACTCAAAACTTTTGGGTGAGGTCCGTCATACTGTAATTTACCAGTTTTTTTTTTTCGATTTAATTTCCTTTTTCAGGGTTCATTTTTGCAATACATCTAAATAATAATTAGATCAGATTAATAAATCATTATTTACAGTAAAAAAAAAAGAAAAGAAAAAAATGTTGAAAATATTTAAAATTTATATGTAGAGCAAGCATGTAGAGCGTACAGTTGCAGATAATCAGGATCAGGGGCGGCACCAGCATTTTTTGGTCTTTGAGCTAATTTCCAGATAAGGAACAAACTTCAAACATTTATATGTTTATACTTATGTCAAATAAGGGTGCTTTGCAAAAAATGATGTGATGATTGGAGCTTGGAAATAAAAAAGCTCCAGAATTTTGCCCCTCCCCCTGCCCCAAACCTAAAAGCAAGTTGATGAAATATTTTTTGTACTATTTTCAACTAAACTTATATTCATCGATAAATTTTAAGTTTCATAGTATTATCTCTCAACATTCAAAAATTATGACCATATAAAATTTGCAATCCCCTAAAATTGAGGGGGGTTTAAACTTTATATGGTCATTATTTTTGAACGCTAAAATATTTTACTATAAAATTTAAAATTTAAATTTCATAGTAAAATATTTTAGGCCAAAATTTTGGTTCTTTTTTGTTCTCAAGCTCCAATCATCGCAATTTTTTGCTGAGCATCCTTATTTGATAAAAGTATAAACATATAAATGTTTGGAGTTTGCATTATGTCTGGAAGTTAGCTATCTCAAAGACCAAAAAATGCTGTCGCCGCCCCTGATCAGGATGCAGTGATATAGAAGAAAGTGTAGGTTAAAAGTAGATAAAGTTAGCAGCATTTTTGTAGAGTAAATCCATGATTTTAGCTGGCAGTTTTTGCATGGAACTTTGAAAGCATCTATCTAATTGTCTAGCATAACACTGGAAGATCCAGATGTAGGTACATTTTAAATTCAAGGTTGGATTGAAACCAAAACCGAAGGATGAACCTAAGAAAAATATTTAATAGTAGAATTTCATTTTAAAAGTTACAATCAAAATTAATCAATATGATATAAATTATATAATTATAAACATATAATTAAAAAATTATTAACAGTTGAAGACCTCGGTGCAATTACGATTTAACTCCATTTTTACAAATTGTTCAGGAGAAAGAAAAAACTGATTAACTTTAAAATTTTACTCTCAACTTTTTACATAAGTTATTAGTAGTTAAGTATAAAATGTATGTTTATTGTAAATTTTGTTTTTGTATTATCAATACTAACGACAATATAAAAAAAATAAACTCATCGAGTTACCCTGTTTTTGCACCAAGCAAATAAAATTAAGTTTGTTACTATCAAGATCCGACAAAACAAGACTAGAAATAACAATAATACCCCAAATAAATTTCATAAGTGCTATATTTATTCATTTACTATGTTAAATTTCCTAAAAAATGTATTAATTAGGCTTTAGCTGTTTTCTTGTGAATGATAATTTTTAATCCAATAAAAGATTTCCAGAAATGACAAATAACAAACAAGCATATTTTCTAAATTACATACTGTATTTCATTATTTAAATGTTATATCACAATAAAAAAAATATTTTAGTCTGTGAAGCTATCCTCAAAAAGTGGACCATCTTGTTCTGCACCTTGGTACTTTAACGTGTCATAAAACCACATACAGTTCGGTGGAACATATTTAGCTGCAAGTTCTTTTACTTGTAAATACTTTGGGCGCTTTAATGGTATTGGACCGGAATACAGTTGAATGTCATTATTTGGTAAAGTCAGACAGGCTCCACATTTTTGAAGAACAAAATCTTCTTTCAAAAAACCACTGGCCAAACTGCTACATTGTACATAATTTTGTGAGTAATTCATCATACGGTAAGATAAGATTGAAAACTTTTCTTTACGTTTATTTAAGATCTTTTTTTTGAACAAACCAGAAAAATGGCTAATAAAGTTCAAGAACATTTCTCGGGTTACTGGTACAACAGTAAATTTGCGACAAGTATTTTTTACTAAAGAAACCCCTTCTTCTGGTAAAATTATTCTTTCTCTCTTTCTCTTTTCTTTTTCAATCAACCCAAAACTACGGTCACAAGGTAAGAAGCTGTGTCCTGGTTCAGGATATCGATAAATTATATTGAACAAATTTTTAGTATATTTTTAGTATGTATGATTTTTATTTTGCGAACTACAGTTGTCAGAATACAAGTAGAGCTTTTTGACTGAAGCAGCAAGGAAATTTTGAATAAAAAAATGCAGACAGCTTACAAAATCATTTTGTCCTTTTTTGCCAACTGTTTCATCATACATGAAGAAATAAGACTTTTCAGATCTGGCTGCGTATATACAAAAATTGTATTCCCAAAGCTGGCGTTTGAAAAAAACATCACCATTTACCAAGTGAGGCAGGGGCATATTTTGCTGATAATCAAATGTTAATAACTCTACTTCTTTATTACTTGTCTTTACTTCAGCAATATCTACTTTCATTTGTGTGTAGAGTAGCTGCAATAAGTTTATCCAATCGCTCACATGTCTGGCAGGTATCAGATCGAGGCTTTCCAAATGAATAGTTAAACCGTGTTATGAAGTGACGATAAAAATAATCTTACGTAACTATTGGCTTAATAAAATCATGTTTATTTTCCAAACTGTTGTAAATAGCAGGCTCGTATATTTGCAGATACAGTTTGTGCATTTTTACAATATTTAAATCAGGAGACAAATATCATTTATGTTGGTTGTTAGTTCTGCTGTAATCAAATGTTCGTTTTGGAAAAGAGTTGATGTGATCATCAATTTGGTATACAATGTCTTCAGGTATCATGTTGGGACGGTTTCTGTGTTTTCCACGCTTATCTCTTGGAGCAGGAATATTTTCTTGTAAACAATACGTTCAACCCTATTTCCTCTTACACCATATATTGCACAAAAGGCTATTTTATATACCTTCTTTGCTTCTTTTCTTATTTTTATTGTATATACACAAGAACATGAACGTTTTGGGCCGTTACCAGAGTTAGGCCTACGTCTTTCAACTGATTTTACTTGAATTTGTCCTCCAATAAAAACATCCTGCTTTTCTTCATCTCCAATGCTGTTAAAAGTTTCTAAAAGCTGCAACTTTATAATATGTGATATTTTATCAAAACATTTTGCCCTACAGTCGCAAGGGTCTCCAGTTTTTCTCTCCTGCTTAAAAGTTTTTTTACTATTTTTGAACCCTATGTAAGTCTTTCCTTCGGCTTTCCTTTTCTAAGCAATATTTTGTTTCCAAGCATTGCTATTTTTGATGCGTTTTCTTGTAAGTTTTATTTTATTTACTTCAGAGTCACTTTCAGAAGTACTAAGGTTGAAATATCGGCACTTGCTTTAAAAACAGTTACTTACACTAGTCATAGTGCTGTTGAGGACAAAATTTGTTTCATTAACCGAATTGTCAAATATACTGCTGTCACTTGCAATACAAATAGCCATATTATTTCTTCTATTAAGTAATGTACATTAGGTACTGTAATTTACAATTAGATTTATACCATACTGTAATAAAGTATAAGACTTAAATAAACACTAGAAATAATTCAACCAAACTTGCATGTCTTTCAAAATCACAATAAAACTCGAAATTAACAAACAAGCGTAGAAAACAGAAACTTATGTTCAATTTCAAGTTTTCTTGATTACCCTTGTTACGTATAATGTTTTACATAATTTATGTAAATTTTATTATATATATATATATATATATATATATATATATATATATATATATATATATATATATATATATATATATATATATATATATATATATATATATATATAATATATATATATATATATATATATATCATATTATTTCTTCTATTAAGTAATGTACATTAGGTACTGTAATTTACAATTAGATTTATACCATACTGTAATAAAGTATAAGACTTAAATAAACACTAGAAATAATTCAACCAAACTTGCATGTCTTTCAAAATCACAATAAAACTCGAAATTAACAAACAAGCGTAGAAAACAGAAACTTATGTTCAATTTCAAGTTTTCTTGATTACCCTTGTTACGTATAATGTTTTACATAATTTATGTAAATTTTATTATATATATATATATATATATATATATATATATATATATATATATATATATATATATATATATATATATATATATATATTAGTTTATATATAAATATTAGGGGAAGGGGGGTCTGAACTTTTTTTACAAATGTTAACAAGGGAAGGGGGAGGTCAATTAAAGTTGATGTGAACAATTTTTTTTTTTTTTTAATTTCTGAAAATTAGTTTCCTATATTAAATAGGGTTTATATGGTATAAAAACCTTTTTTTGTGTAATAAATTTTTTAAAGTTGTTATAAATAGATTTAGTCCATATCTATTTATAACAGCGTCTTTAATCTAAATTAAACTTTAATTTTAAGATAATATTTTGCGAACGCGCTTCTTTGAAATCATATAGCACTTTAGTTTCAATTAAAAATCTAATATAAATATATTAAAATCTCTTATAAATATATTAAAATTTTACAGTATAATCGGTTCTGACACAAAAAATACTAGAATTTCGATTAAGAAAGAGCACTAATTAAGAAAGAGCACTAAAAAATACTAGAATTTCGATTAAGGAAGAGCATAATTAAGATCAAAACAAATTATATTATTAAACTATGATGTTCATTTCACCTAAAAAGCGTATTTATTTAAAATCTTTTTTAAGTTTGGACAAGCGATCGTGATTTTAAGAAGATTTTTTTTTTAAAAAAAAGAATTTTCGGTTTTAGTTTTTTTGCTACAAACATTTATATTTTATGATACCGCAAAATTTATCCTTTTAATTTTTTTCGTCGTTTCATAAGTCACAGACCTGATCATTTAACGGAAATATGTCGTAGTCAACAAAATATCATACAGACGCTATAATATTTTAAAAGTGCACCGAGGGCTACTGTTGGTAAAAAAAAATTAGGACTTTTATCTTAAAGGAATTATCATTTTTTGAACCCAGAGTACCAAGTTATAATGGTGGCAAAGACTCTGGGATTAAAAACAGTTAGTTCCAAGTCATTAAATTTCATTAGTTTTTTTTCTTATAGCATATCATAAGTCAATCAATATGTTTAGAACTTCTAGAAACCAGAGACCAGGAAAAATCTGAGATATTAAGTCGGAGTCCTTTTGTGACTCCGCATTCCGTAAACTACTGTTTTTAGGGTGGGGTGAAAATTACTTTTTTTTTCAAAAAAAGTAATTTTCTCCGGTTACACCACAAGGTTTGCTCTATATTATAAAAAAACATTAGATTTTAATGGGTCCTATCTGACCTTTGAATATTTAACGGGTCCTTAATAACCGCAAAAGATTTTTTCAAAAGGTATATTAAACTGGTACTCAAAAGAAGTGAAATTTTATAAAAATATGTTTGAAATGTAATTTAAATAAACCGTAAAAAAAAACTTTAAAAACGATAGTTTTTATAATAAGCAATAATTACTATTTTTAAAAAGTTTCGCCTCTTTTGAGCACCAGGTTGACATTGACACGACTTGAAAAAAATTTTTAGCCGTCTAACTGGTTAGGATATTTTTTTCAAAAACGTGTTTTTCACGACTGATTTTTTATGGTGCCAATGCAACCACGTGCAATTAAATTTTTTTAAATGAAATTCTAGACCCACACCTATCTGGTGTAAATAAATCCATGTGGCTATGTTTGCTTAAATAGTTACGGCCACTTACAACTATACAATTTTTGTACTTTAAAACTATGGTTTTGAGACAATAAAATTTATTGAGTTTTCCTTTGCGTTTTTTTTTAAATAAAACTTTTGACTGGCTCATCACAAACTGGTTGAAAAAAATATTCGAACTAATAATATACAGGACATTGCTTTTTAAAGTACGAAATAAAGCAAAATAAGAAAATTAACTAGAATTCTTTGATTTATAAAGTATACCATCGTCGAGCGACAAATATTTAGAACAAAACACTTTATTATTGCACCTATTATACAAAGAACATAAAAACGTTCAATATTCTTACAGACAATGGCTATCCATGGGCACAAGAGGTGTTTTAGGCGTTTAAAAAACGTAATAATACGTATTAATACGTTTTTTAGACGTCTGAAACACCTCTTGTGCCCACTAGGCTTCGCTAAATAATATTAATACCAGGCAATTACCTATAAAATATTATATTACCTATAATATAATATATATTACTTGTAATACCTATAAAAAATTATTTTCAAACTTTAATAATGACGTCTAAAGACCACATTTCCATTTTATGTTGTGTTTAGTATCATTTTATAATATTGTGTTTAGTATCATGCTGAAATCGATCAATACTCAGATAAAATGGAGAAATTAATTTTTACGCCAGACATCGCTCCTCACATTCTTGAAGTATTTAGGCGTTACAAGTCTCTACGTTCTTGAATTATTTATTGACTGTACACCAGTGGAGTCAGAGAATAAAAAATGGATTTTAGCTTCAATAAAAAGCAATGAAATTGACTTAGCTTTTTAAAGAAGTATCTGCAGAAAGAAAAGATCTGTAACTAATAGTAAAATGTATATGAATAAATCTCATCGATAAATTTTTTTTTATTTTTATCTAACAGTAATTAATGTTATTTCGAGCGAGTTTGAGCGTGAACTTATTAATGTTCATTCGAGCGTGTTTGACACAATTCTCTTGGCTGCCATTACAACCAAAGTAATAGCGAGAAAGAGTTTTTTTTTATAAGAAAAGTCAACGAAGGTATATGCAAATATCTAACTTACGCTAACTTCAAATTATGTTAATTCAAATTAATTATATTAAAACATATATCAAATTTTTTAGTTTTACTTTCACTTAAAAACTGTATTGCGGCAACATCTCTTTAAGATTTTATCTGTAGCATTTATTTCCGTTTGATAAAGTCTTTATTATGCTATATAGTTCTAAAACTTGAGCTGGACAATATGCCTTTGCGTGGCCGAGTGGTTATAACGCTGGGCTCCTAATGCAGAAATTCTAGATTCGATTCCTGTCACCGGCGGGTTTTTTTTTTTTTTTTTTTCTTTACCTTTTTTGATTTTTTATAAAATTACGTAACGCAAAATTTCACAATAAACAAAACAAAAAAATATCAAAAGTTTTCCCTCGCATAATCTTTATTTTAAATAAATAATCGAAATAAGAAATCAAGTGAAATGAAAATCGCCGCGTAAAAGAGCCTTATACTTCTGTTCTTATAATATTTTTTGCGTTGCCTAATTTTTTTTTTTTTTTTTTTGTTCTTTATTACATTATAAACAACATTCCGTTATAAATATACAAATTAAAAACTAAAATATAAAAGTTACAAGAAAATAACAAAACAAAAAATCGTAAATAAGAAATAAAAGAACGCGGGGACTCGTAGAAGACCGTAAGGTCTAGTCGTCGAGAACCGCTAAAATGAACGTGATACAAAAAATTAAAAATATTTAGAAAACCCGTTATAAATATAAAGATCAGTTATATAAATACTATATAAGTTAATAAACATATAAATTGTCGTATATATTGATACATATTTTTGGTAAATATATAAATTATAAAATAATAATTCTTTGATAAGTGGAGGTAAAATGGGAAAACTATTAAAAATTATTAAAAGTAAATCGATAGATCGCAAATTGTAAAAATTAATTCTTTTAACTTTCGTTTAAAAGAGTTGTAGTTACATTGTTGGATAAAATCTTGAGAAAAGTTTTTTAAGACAATTTTGTTCCATAAGAATGGTCCACGAGAAGTAATGCAGAATTTGCTCAAGTTAGTTTGAAAAAATGACTGCTTAATAAAATTGTTATTGCGTAAATAGTATTTATTTTTATCTTTTGACATATACAAATCATGGAAAGAAACTGGTGAAGAATTAGTTTTACATTTGAACATAAAACAAAGAGTATTATAAACATTGAGTTGATAATATTTAAGGCGTTCATTTTTTTTAATAGAGACTTTGCATGAGTTGCAAGGCTTTGCAAGACGTTCACTAAAATGTATCAAACGTGCTGCATGCTTCTGATGACGATAAAGAGGTTCAAGTTTGCTTTTATTGGTGCAAGCCCTTGCAATGTTTGCATAATTTATATGGCTATGAATAAAAGAGAAATATAATTGAGTTAAATTTTTTTTATTTAAAAAGTTTCTTGCTTTATATAAAATATATAAAGTAAGAAACTTTTTAAATAAAAAAATTTAAACTCTATTCCTAGGTGTTTAAATTAGGTGTGTAGGTGTGTAAAAATTCCTAGGTGTTTAAACACCTAGGAATTTTGTAACGTTTACTCTAATTATTTCGATATTATCAATAAAAAAGGATGGCATTTCATAAGGCAGTAGTTTTTTCTTAGAGGGCGGGTGAAAGAGAGTCCAGTTTGTTTTTTGAATATTAAGCAATAATTTATTTAATTTAAACCAGTAAAAAATCTTGTTTAATTCTACATTCATAAGTTGAAACAGAGTAATGATGTTAGTATGAGATAAGAATAAGTTTGTATCGTCTGCAAACATGATTGTTTTTAATCTGGATACTTTATAGAGATCGTTGATATATATAAGAAAAAGAAGAGGTCCGAGAATAGATCCTTAAGGAACACCACAAGTAATTTATGGACGATGCCTAAAAGGGGGTTTTAAAAATATGTTTTTATTTAGAACATAATTGAAAATTTTAATTTTATTTTTAAAATAAACCATATTACTATTATAATAATATTTATAATTTTTGAAAATATTAAAAAGTTAAAAATAACTACTATTAGGTAACGTGTTATTCACGAGTGTATGTTAGCCATTTTACCGAGTACCAGAAATACGTTTTAGACAATCATCAGATGATGTGATTGTTCAATACAAGTCATATAATTGAAAACTATTGAAAATTGTTATGTTTTGTTAATTTGTTAATAAATGTGTAAATAAAAATATCTTTTATTTTACAATGTTATTAAATATTTTTTTGAAACCACCATCCGTAATAATTTGTATTTTCTCTATGTGAACGAAAGTCTATGCAAATATCTAACATGTAAAATTCAAGTTATGTAAATTAAATCAAATTTTACAGATTTATTTTTAAATTGCGGCAATATCTCATTTATTAGTGAGTTTAAGCAAACTCACTAATAAATGAGATTATGCCGAGGCAGCGGTAGAATTTCTCGTTATGCCGAGGCAGCGGTAGAATTTCTCGTAAATAATTAATAAGTCTTAGCATGGAAGTATTATAGATGGAAGTTGCAACGCTATTGGAATTTCTAAAACCATTCGTGAAATCTTTTGTTCATAATACAATAGAAACTCGAAAACAATTTTATTCAAGTTGGATGGCGCTTCTGGAGTATGTAAAATAAGGGTGTGCCGGATCGGAAATTTTGATTTCCGTCCGGAACCAGATTTTCCGGAAATGTTGAAAAATTCTGGCCGGAACGACAATTATATTTATGGAGTTTTTTACCTTCAAGGTTGTAAAGTGAAAGCCTGCACCTCAGCATTTTATATAATATATTTTTATAATCTATAATATGTATATATATATATATATATATATATATATATATATATATATATATATATATATATATATATATATATATATATATATATATATATATATATATATATATATATATATATATATATATATATATATGTATATATATATATATATATATATATATATATATATTTATATATATATATATATATATATATATATATATATATATATACATATATATATACATATATATATATATATATATATATATATATATATATATATATATATATATATATATATATATATATATATATATATATATATATATATATATATATATATATATATATATATATATATAAAACACATTTTTGAAGTGTCCGCCATCTGCGTCGATACATGCTTGAATTCGCTTCTTGACCAACTCAACCGTGCGCCGCAAGTAGGCCAGGCCTTTAACAATTCACGACGAAGATCTTGCAAATTTTTGATTTTCTGGTGAGGCAAATGTTCATCTAAAACGCCCCAAACGAAAAAATCGAGTGGTGATAGATCGGGGCAATTTGGAGGCCACAAATCTTTCCCCAGGTAATCCTTGATTTTCGTGTCCAAGAAAGCTAGCGTGCTTTTGGCTCCGTGGGTAGGCGCCCAGTCTTGTTTGAAGATTATTCCTGGGTTTTTTTTGTTTTCATGGGATAACGACCTTCTTGATAATCTCATCTTGGTAAGTTTTGGCGTTAATCTTAATGCTTTTGTTGATAAAAATCAGCTCCGTTGTGCCGTTTGTCGAGACTCCTCCCCACACCATTAAACTTTTTGGAAACAGCGTCTTTGTTGTAACTTTTCTTCTGCGGCTGTCTTTAGACCTGGTGACAAGAGTTGTCGGTGATTTTGAGAGTTCTTGGCAACTTCAATGGTGAAAACTTTTTCGTCCGACCATAAGACATCCTCAAAACGGCGCACTCGAATAAACTTCTTCAATTCCTGGCACTTTTCGAGGCGTTTTTGTTTCACTTGATCTGTTAGCTGTTGTCCGTTCAAAAGTCAATAGCTTTTGAGTCCAAGATCATAGTGCACAATCGCTTGAAGAGTCAATCGAGCCATTCCAAGATTTTTTGCCATCTTATTAAGTCACGCCGTCATTTCTGGTGATGCGCTTCTTGATTATTCCTCAAGCCTTCCGAGTGTTCACAGTTCTTGGGCGGCCTTCTTTTTTCTTCTCCTGTACGTCACCCGTCTTTCTCCATTGCGCCAGAACTTTGCAGACCAATGGAATTGAGCACTTGAGCCTTGTTGCGATTGTAGCTGCTTTCATTCCTGATCGGCACAAATTTACAATAACACTTTGATGCGGCGAAACTTTCGTCATACCTAAAATTCAAAAATAAACAACGTAGAAATACAGTAGAATAAATTTTAATTCAAAAACAAAATACAGTAGATAATCTGTGAAAGAAAAA